GTATCATTATACAGAGCGCTGTGTTCATTATCAGTGTATAGATACTCAGTATCATTATATAGAGCGCTGTGTTCATTATCAGTTTATAGATACTCACTATTATTATACAGAGCGCTGTGTTCATTATCAGTGTATAGATACTCAGTATCATTATACAGAGCGCTGTGTTCATTATCAGTGTATCAATACTCATTTTCATTATATAGAGCGCTGTGTTCATTATCAGTGTATAGATACTCAGTATCATTATACCGAGCGCTGTGTTCATTATCAGTGTATAGATACTCAGTATCATTATATAGAGTGCTGTGTTCATTATCAGTGTATAGATACTCATTATCATTATATAGAGTGCTGTGTTCATTATCAGTGTATAAATACTCATTATCATTATATAGAGCGCTGTGTTCATTATCAGTGTATAGATACTCAGTATCATTATACAGAGCGCTGTGTTCATTATCAGTGTATAGATACTCATTATCATTATATAGAGCGCTGTGTTCATTATCAGTGTATAGATACTCAGTTTTATTATACAGAGCGATGTGTTCATTTTCAGTGTATTGATACTCTGTATTATTATACAGAGTGCTGTGTTCATTATCATTGTATAGATACTCAGTATCATTATACAGAGCGCTGTGTTCATTATCAGTGTATAGATACTCAGTATCATTATATAGAGTGCTGTGTTCTTTATCAGTGTATAGATACTCATTATCATTATATAGAGCGCTGTGTTCTTTATCAGTGTATAGATACTCATTATCATTATATAGAGCGCTGTGTTCATTATCAGTGTATAGATACTCAGTTTTATTATACAGAGCGATGTGTTCATTATCAGTGTATAGATACTCAGTATTATTATAAAGAGCGCTGTGTTCATTATCAGTGTATAGATATTCAGTATCATTATACAGAGCGCTGTGTTCATTATCAGTGTATAGATACTCATTATCATGATATAGAGCGCTGTGTTCATTATCAGTGTATAGATACTCAGTATTATTATACAGAGCGCTGTGTTCATTATCAGTGTGTAGATACTCAGTATTATTATACAGAGCACTGTGTTCATTATCAGTGTATAGATACTCAGTGTGACGAGACCAATCTCGCCACATTGCATTGGAGAAGCCTGGTTGCTCGCCTGCTGCCTTTGGACTATGGCCCCTTTGTAAAAGACTTTATTTTTGCATGCAGAAAAGCTGTATTTGTGCTTTTCTGCCGGTTGTTCGGTAGTTTCAATCTACCGAACAACCGTACGAATGACTGGACCACCTGGGAGCTGGAGTGTGCCGGCAATTAACCTCCTGAAGCTGCAGTTAACCGCAGCTTAATTGATGAACGCTGGGTGGCCGCCGTTCGTATCCCGAACACGAGGTCGCGGCCATTTTAAACCATACGAATGAACAGCGGTGTTCGCCTCTATTTTCATGGAACTAAAATCGGACACAGTTTTGCGCGAACACCGCTGAAGCCGCTGACCTCCCTTCTTGTTCGGTGAAAGCACACGAATGACCCGGTGTTCGGTATTTTTGTGTGAATTTCTTATACCCCAGATAGGAATCCCATGGAGCCCATTCGTATGAAACTGACTGTAAAGACTTTGGCTCCATGGCGATTGAACTGTATTCGTGTAGGCTGAGTGCCATTCACTTAATAATGTGCACTCAGACCTGAGCTATCTGGGGATGTGTTACATGTCGGTGTTTTATGTAGTAAATGTTACTTTGTGCATTTTAAAGTATAATGCTGTTTTGTGTTCCCACGTGTGTAATGGAGTTTTGCCTTTGTCTTGGGAGATAATTGAGTTACTTCCCAATTATCTCCCAGGGCAGAGGGGAGGAAGCCAGGATGCATTGTGGGAATATACTGTGACTGTGTGTCCTTTTTGTATACTTGTCTGTCCCTTGTCACAGTCTCCCATTTTGGTCCCCTAGGGGAGTGTCCACCAGGTGGGAGACCTGCATAAAAACTGGGCAGGTAGCCCTCATTAAACAGACCACTGCTTGACCCTCAACACGGAGCTCTGTCTCGTCTTTGGGGGGATTTACTGTATGCTGCTAAGGACTGATTGCCAGGAGTGTAAGCCGCTTGGAAGCTTTTCCTGTTCGCCTGCTAGCAGCTATTCGTATGGTTCCTGTTCGTTTATTTGAAGTGCTACCTTATTCCCTTGTATGCCGTTCGGGAGTTTGGGGCATTCACTTATTGGCGGTTCGTGAGCTTTGGTGATTATACCGTAGCTGTGCCTGTCTCTGAAAAGGGGGATTATCGTCTAAGCGGTTTTTTCCCCTTTTGTGCAAACGGTCCGTTACAATTGGTGGC